AAGTGAAATAAAGCAGCATACACGATTGCCATACAATTGCTCTAGGCAGTCAATTCCATGTAATCAACAGTTTGAATAATTTTTTACACTATACATCCTTTGATATTCGGCTAAAATACATCAGAAAGACGACAAGTATAATGGCTGATTTTGGTTACAACCCGTATCAATCTTCGCACCTAAATTTCTAACCACAAATCAAGTTATCAAAATATGTTTTTGCTGTAAATAAAACACTAAAACTATTCTGCTTTTAAACATGCCACCTTTAAACTTACATTAAATAATCAACATTTCATACATCAAGTTTGTTTAGTGATTCAAATGGAATTTGAAGCCATTAACAACGGGCAAAAGATTGTTAACTGGCCAGTTTTTAACAACGACTAACAGTCTTAAAAGTTTAGAGATGATCTAAAACAAACTTGATAAAACCCGGTGACTGTAAAATGCGTGTAATTTTTGAATTAACGTTAGGCTACTCACATTTCAGCACTGAAGAGATGTTTTATAATTGATACAACCCGGTGACTGTAAATGCGTGTAAATATGTGTTTGAAATATTCACATTTCAGCACTGAAGGGCCAATTTAAAACCATACACTCACTAGCTCGACGGCTTGCTCAGCACCGATTTGATAGCATTACTTCTGGTAATACTACCTGGATAAAATACTGGTGAGGAATATAAGAAAATGTTTTTACCATGTAGGTGCAGATGAAGGTCAATGCAGTTGAAGGACTTCGGATGGCAAATGGCGATGTATAGCAGATGTCCTTTGAACTTGTGTCCTCTTCGGGAAAAAAGTGCTTTTCAAATGATGTTTGTAAAAAAATTGTCATCCCAAGTACCTGACTGAAAATAATTTGGGATGCTTAAAAATGGCAAATTAACCAAACCAACAAAACACACTTTGGCCAAACTTGTACTCGCACTTGTACTCCCAATTAAAAAATATATATATAAAAATACTGCATTGTACTGTATTTAACACAGCCCACAATGCATTGAAAACAGTAAAAAAACTGATTACTTAGTTACAGTAGAGTACTGTTAAAAATTGGCTGTAAATTAACAGCAATTTCTTAAATGGCAAAATATTGCCCAGGATGCATTGTTTTCTACAATACATTACAGTTTCAATGAAAAACAGTATGTTACTGTCAGATTTTGGCCGTTTTTTTACAGCAATTTTTGACAGTGCAGGCAAAGATCAGAACATAGGAAAACAGACAAAGCAAGACTCCGCTAAAGCTAGGAAAACTAAGCAGGCTCCGTAAGGTAGCTATCAGCTAAACAATGATATTCGCTAAACAATACTCGGCAGTGGGAATGGATCAGAGTGAGTGTTAAATAGGGGATGTGATTGATTACAGCTGTGTGCAATCAGTGCTGTGTGCGCGTGTCATCAGTGCAGTGGATGATGGGATATGTAGTCCGGGGTGATATGCAACAGTGTGTAGTGTGAGAGTCAATGAAATGGAAAGGGTGACCTCTAATGGCTAGCAGACGGAAGTTCATGGACCGGATACGTGACATTTATATTTTACTTTTATTATAATTTTAATAGTTGTAACATCATTAGAGTCTAGTGTTAATATGTCATTGCTATTTACTGTCAATTTAATTTAGTTGTCCCCTGTAATTCCCTGTATATATATATGTATGCTATATATACTGTACATGTTCCTTTCAGCAGAGTACTCTTTTGCTTTCAGAAAATGCATCTTGAATAAGGTTTGTATATTTTGCTGTATTAGCATTTTAATATTATATTTCATGTATAAAATCGAACAAAATCAAGCTTATGTTTATGTTTAAGTTTATGCTTACAATAATAAAAATGCTAATGGGGTATAAAATAAACTTACTTCAAGATATGTTTTTGGAAAATAAAATCTGATTTAGTATGCAATTTGCTTCTCAGGTTTTTAGGTTCTCAAATTTTATTTGAAAAGATGTTTTGATATTTTTAATATAGTCAAAACCCAGAGACACTGAAAAGGCCTAGTATTTCGCATTTTCTGCAGGTTTCACATGTTGAGGAGCCCCAGAGGGTGTGAGAATCCTTCCTCTCTGAATTATGTTGTCACGTTTGGAAAATGATGTTTATATTTTATCCCTGATGTGCTTTCACAGCCTCCGTCTCTTTTTCTGGCTCTTGGCCTAAGCCTTTTGATTTCTTCTCATCTCCCTCCCTGTCCTTCTGTGGAGCTTTCTGTCTTTACTTTCTTCTTTCCTCTTTTTTCTCTCTCTGTCCTAAAGGTTTGTCTTTGTGAAAAATACCCACTGTCTAATATAGTTTATTTCTTCACCTCAGCTCAGGAAAATATCATTAATCAAAGATGTCAGGTCTGATACCACAGAAGGTAATTTAACGAGACATTTGGGTAAGACTTTATAATAACTTTCATTAATAAATCATTAACAAACATTACATAATGTTTAACTAATCATTACTTAATATATATTCACATATCTAGACATATGAGTGTCACGAATCCGGTTCATGGACTTTCCAATTCATTGACTCTCGCACTACACACTGATGCACATCACCCCGGACTACATTTCCCATCATGCATTGCACTGATTGCACTCAGCACGAATTGCACACACCTGTTTACACTGATTGCACCCAGCTGTTTCATATCACTCCCTCACTATTTAACACTCACTCTGATCCCTTCCCTCTGCCGAGTATTGTTTCAGCGTTTATCACTCTCCTAGAGATAGCTACCTTACGGAGCCCTAGTCATT